GGATAAATTCAATGTAATTTCTACATTGCATTAAAAGTGAATACCTGCTTAATTGATAGTCTTTAAACAGAGGTTCAATAATATTTTAAGCTCGATTTATTGCATCATTTAATTGCAATAGTAATCCTAGACATTAAGATCTCCTAGATCATCAAGATTAACAAAAGTTTAAAGACGGGTAAAAGCTCAAAGCCTCAAACACAGCTCCAGATCAATAAGAAAATAAACAAAGAAACTTGACACAATAATAATGTCATAGTCCCGTTACTTTTTCGAAGGACTTCTATTCAAAGAAGAAGAGAGGATCTTGGTTCCACAAATATAAAGAACATGTTTTGTTACCATTTTATACCAGTTACTAGACTGGTATCTGGATAAAAGAACTATCATTTCAACTATAAATAGACATAGAAGAGTGGAAATTGGAGGCTACCTTTTACCATATCTGAAAGAATAATCAAATAACAAAATTAAAGCTTTTAGCCCGCCATGCCAATGGAGAACTTTATTTGTCTTGCCCGTTAGAAGTAACTACATCCACGTCACATAAAAGTAGATGGTCACAATGAAAAAAAATCTTCACCATCTTCATTTAGAACCTGAATTTAAGTTTAACATTATGCATTGCACAAAAAAATATGGAGTACGAAGTTGGAATAAGAACAAAACAACTTACCTCACTGAAAGCCAAATGAAGGCGCTGGAAATCAGTCACAGTTCCCTCGTTGCTGTCACTACTATCACAATCAGAGTCATCTTCAAAATCTTCATTCTCCATCTGAAAATTATTTTCTACAAGGTTATGCCTATTTAACTAGATCTTGCAACAAAGTTACTGGAATCAAATACCTCATTGAGACCCAAATCATGATCAGATTGAATATTAGCTGAATTAATGGAAGAGCTCTCGTCAACTTCCAAATAACCCTGTCAAATTTTGTAAAAAGCAAAGAGAAGAAAAAGATAACAATTTAGTAGGTGATATAATCTGTTATCTCAATGCTGAATTCTGCTCTAACATATGAACCGACCACACCTAGATATTTTAATAGCATGAATAACATCTAAAAATTAACATATATAAAGAAAGGTGGAGAAAATCATACTCTTACTTCTCAATAATTAAATTACAACTCTTCTCCTTATTATATAAGAAACAACTAGGGCAAAATTACTTATAGCAATTACAACTTACCAAAGGAAACATAATTCAAGAAGTAAGAAAACATGACATAATAAGGAATGAATAAAACTAAACTAGGAAACTCTGAATTCCACACGCAACCTCAAGCTGAGTCATAGATGTTGAAAATGCCCAGTTTAGTATTCGAATCAGCGAAGCTACCCGGAGGTAGAGATTCAGTGAAGACATCAACGATTTGAAGATGAGTTGAAAAGTAAATAAAATAAATAATGTTTCTATTGAACTTTTCAAAGATAAAATATATGTCAATCTCAATGTGTTGTCGGCCGAAATTACGGAATTTTTTTTTCAAAAGAATTTAAATTTGAAAATAGTTTTAATATATAGGTGATTTTGATTTTGGAAATAATATTTTAATTTTGAAATAAATGAG